GACCAGCTGACCCACCTGGCCCAGTGGCCCGTACCAAGGAACTGACTCAACTGGTCTTGTGATCCCCACCCAGGAACTGACTCAGCGCGACAAGACAATTTTTACACCTCTGTGATCCCACTCTGAACCCAGCCAATGAGCAGACCCAATTGCCTAGCCCTTTGCCCGCCAAACTATCTTTAAAAACCCTTTTCCTAAATTCTCGTGGAGATGGATTTGAGAACTTCATCCCCTCTCCTCGCCCGGCACCTGCAATATTAAACCCTTTCTCTGCTGTGACCCTGCTGTCTCAGTGTGCTGCCTTCCTCTTGGGCAGCGGCCGTAAACCTGGTAGAGCGGAAACACCAAGGAGGCTGATGGAAAGTGCTCCGACGGCTTCACTTGGTCACTGGCTTTCTTCCAGTTCTTTCTTCATTTCACTCTTAAGATCTCTTTTTCTCTCACTTTCTTACAACCCTTATCACTTATGTTTCCATTTCACCCTCACTATCAGCCCAGATGTAAAAATATAAGCATAGAAAAATCCCACCAGTGAGAATGTAACTTCCTGAGAAAAGGCCACCCACCGGTATATTAGTATGCAGGGTTCTTATTTTCACGTGGCAAACTTGTGAATGGTAGGACTATCACCCTAAATATTATATGCTGTGGTTGGTTGAGTCATTAAAGAGAGAGAGAGACAGAGAGAGAGAGGGAGAGAGAGAGAGACATGCACACCAGCTCATGCACTCATATTGTTTGATGATGAATATTTTCCTCCTAGATATTCTGGCTCCACATGACCAAAATACCAACAACTTCAGGGCACATGACATTGTGGGGTAAGATGAGGAGAAGAAATTTTGTAAATTACCACTTCCTTCTTTTAGGGTTTGAAATATAGTATGGGTTATGAGTAATGTATCTTTTTAAGACTTAAAAAAAGTACCAGTTCTATATAAAGAACATCAGAAAAAATGAATTAACAATCATCTTGGTTTTGAGGTAATACCGTTTCCTCCCAGTTCAGTATCTTTTTGAATACAAGGAATGTCCTAATACTTCATACATATATGCATATTTGTATTAAATGAGATATTCTCAAGTAACTCAAGGAACATGAATATTAAGCAAATACCACGTTAAAAAGAGTTAAGTGGACAGCCAAGTGTGGTGGCTCATGCCTATAGTCCCAGTATTTTGAGAGGCCAAGGCCGAAGCATAGCTTGAGGCCAGGAATTTGAGACCAGCCTCAGCAAGAGCGAGACCCCGTCTCTACAAAAAACAGAATAATTAGCCACGTGCGGTGGCGCCTATAGTTCCAGCTCCTCAGGAGGCTGAGGCAGGAGGATTGCTTGAGCCCAGGAGTTGGAGGCTGCAGTGAGCTATGATGACGCCACTGCACTTTAGCCTGGGCAATAGAGCAAGATCCTGTGTAGATAAAATAAAATAAAATACATTCTGGATATAAGTCCTTTGTCAGACGGGCAGCACATGTTCTGAGAGTTGTACCGTTGAAAAAGTTTTAGTGTCATTTCCAGAGAACGTGACATGGAGTATGTAAATCTATACAGGAAATCTGCTTTTAAAAAAAAAAATTATTTCATTTTTTACATTGCGTTAACATATACATGGCATAAAATTTACCATTTCAACCATTTTCAAGTGTACGGTTCAGTGGCATTAAGTACACTCACAGTTACGTAACCATCACCACCATCCATCTCCAGAACTTTTTCCATCTCCCTACATGGAAACTCTGTACCCATCAGACAACAACCCCCCATTCCACCCTCCCTGACAGCCACCATTCTACTTTCTGCCTCTGTGAATTTGACTGCTCTCTAGGTACCTCTTATACTCATACAGTATTTGTCCTTTTGTAACTGGCTTCCTTCATGAAGTATAATGTCCTCCAGGTTCATCCACCTTGTAACATATGTCAGAATTTCCTTCCTTTTCTAAGGCTGAATAATGTTCCATTGTGTGTACAAGCCACCTTTTCTTTATCCATGCATCCATCAATGTCCACCTTTTGGCTGTCATGAGTAACGCTGCCATGAGGAAGTCTCTTTTCAACTCCTAACACCAAGCCACTGAGCATTATCCAGGTTTGCAATGTAATCTAAAAGCCAAGGTCTAGCGTGTTAGGGTTACTTTGGTTCTAAGGAACAGAACCAACTCAAACTGATTTAAACAAGGGACTATTTTGGGTCAGTGAAATGCCCAGGATTCGGGCTGGACAATTCACAGGGGTTCAAATGCTGCCACAGGGTCTCAACCCTCCTCTCTCGCTCTGGTTCTGCTTTCGTCTGTGTGGCAGGCACTTTATCCTGGTGTCGGCTTCTCCCCTTCCAGCTAGACATTGCCATACACAAAAGGGTCTCTGCCCCAATAGTGCCATCAAAGTCCCAGAATTAGGTCTCATCAACCTAGCTTGGGTCATGTGCCCATTCCTGCAGCGTCATGTGACCAGGGCCAGGCCTGGGAGACACACCCATCCCCATGAGAAAGACTAGGGCAGGGAGGGGGGCGATTCTCCAAGGGAAATCAGGGTGCTATTACCAAAACGGGGGCGCGGGGGTGGGTACCAGACAAACAGGAACATGGGACAACCACTGTGAGGGAAAACTAACTTTGCGCTCCTAATATATGCCAGGCATCGAGCA